TTATTGATTACGTAATTAAGAGTTATGTAAGTATAATGATTTTTCAGTTAATAATTTCCAAGAACAAGAAATCCAAGCTTATGTTACATCAAAGGTAAACTGAAGAACACCTGTGTTGACTTTACAATACAATGATCAAGAAATTTTTTTCGCTCATTAATTTAAATGTATCGATTTTATTTATTATATTTGATTAATGTTTCACGTGAACAACCAAATTAACCATTTAAATTTGTTATCTTAATTATTATTAATACGTGATAAATTCTTTATCTCGTGACCTATTTAGAAGTTAAGAAAGAAATGAGTTTCTTATTATACGGTATTTTTCCTTTTTCGTAATAAAAAGACGTGTGTTCAGAAACATGAAAGAGTCTCTGTGAGGCAATGTTTGTAAGACAAAATATATATTAAAACAATTTTTAATATTATTCTCTGTACGTAGAAATTATTTCCACGTGGTTCATTGGATTTTTTTTTTTTTTTTGTCACGATCGTTGACAGGGCGTATTTATACGGTTTTCTGGGGTGTGGAAATCCTAACTTGAGGATGAGAGGAAGTCAATCCAATGGAACTTCAAGTGACATCCTAAAACAGTTTTTTTTTTTAATTCTCCTTCCAGGAGTTTATTGAAAGGAAATAGTAATGAACGAAAGGCAGTGCCATAAAAAGATATTTCGAAAATTTGCTAGCATCATAGTCCAGACTGTGGTATAAATCATGATCAACGAGCCACTTACGCGTTCACAGTCCCCCCGTGAATTTCTATCACTCGCTGTACATATAAGTCGAAAGGTAAGACGCATACCTGCAGAGGAGGGTGCACCGGGTGTATTCCACTCCTCTTTAAAGCACAGCACCAGATTTATTCGGCGTTGGAGGGAGGAGAGGGAAAAAAGGGACGAGATAAACGGCCGCTTGGCTTTTAGCCGGTCGACAAAGTTCCGAACTTTCCAAGTCTCCTAGGATTTTTCTTCTTCTTCTTCTTCTTCCACTCCGTGTTTCTCTTTATTTTTCATACATAACAGCTTGACAAATTTTTCATAAAGTCGCAACGAGGATACTCTCTCTTTCTTTCTCGTTTCCCGGCAAAGTTGACGCGATTTATGTTTGATGATGCACACTGGGAGTTCGCCGTCGGCGCGGACTTTGGCCCCACCGTCGTTATTTTTCTCTTTACAATCATTGCTATTAAATTTCCCCGAGGCTCTCTCCAGTAAAATGCGCCCTTGACGATTTTCCGACGAGATAAGCCCACGCTATATTATCATAAATTTACAAGAAGTTTCCTTCCTCGGCTACATGTCTGGTATTCGTCCGCAGACGTGGTACTCGTGGAGTGCAGTTCTGATGATGTAGTTGATTGCTGTAGCTGTACTATTCACAGAAAAAGTGTCAAAGGATAATGTACGTTGAAAGTTTGCAGTGAACAAAATCTGACGTTTATTGTCATTACGATAAAAAAAAGGAAATTTTTTCCACCCACCCAGCAGGGGAGCTTCAAACGATTTTACTTCGAACAAAAAAATTATCACTCTTCGGTCTCTCCATTGTTTTCGCACATCATTATAAACAACTATACCATGCAAGGAAAAGAAAACCATACCCCGTCTACGCAATGTCAAAGACAAAAAGAACAAAGCTCTCCTTATCTGCGCATCCCCCCGCAAACGATCATTTTCCCGCATCAAAAGCGTCACCCGGGGGTGAGCTTCGCATCCCTTCCGCTGCGCTGGAGAAGTAAGAAGGGAAAAAAGTTTACCAAGAGATTCGATATATAATAATATACACTCGGCGTTGCGTCTTTCCACACTCGTGGTGCCATTGACACGCGAGTTTCCCGAAGCTGGCGCGCTCGTTAAATGCGATCGTGTGTGCGCGTGTCGGTGTTGCCCGGGACTTTTAGCTGGACGACGGCCAAAATCGTTTTCTGAACCGTAGAGGCGGACACTACCACTACTTTCGCTGCCACTCGCGTATACGGTATATAGAGGGTAGGTAGAAGAGGACGAAAGTACACGGAAGTGGCGATGCTACTGCTGCTCTACGCTTATAAGCTCAAGGTGCAGATAAGAGGAATGGCTTTTATATTCGAAGAAGCGTGTGTGTATTTATACGTCGGCGCGTGACTACTTTGTAATAGCGCGATAACGGAAGCAAATCCGCGATATTGATCTAGCTGAATCTTGGTAAAAGAGAATGTGAAGAAAAATTGTGAGCCGTTCAAACGGACCAGTTCCGAGGAGGAATCTCGTTTAAAAAGAGTTTTAGGATTGCCTTGTCTACAATAACGGTAAATAATTCAAAAAAATAAAATTACGCATCAAAATTTGTAAAGTTAAAACTATTAGTAGCTTCTGAATCAGTGGTTATTTGCATCGAGAAAAATCTTATGAGATTGTATCAATCATAATTTCACTAACTCAGTTGTATACACATACTTTAGATCTGGACTTACAGGACCATCTAGTAAAGATTCGTTCAAAAATTGTTATTACCAGATTGTAATTTTGGCACATTTATAGTACGTTTGTATTTATGTTTCATTAAATTCACAAGCATGAAAAAACCGATCCAACGATACAAAGTTTTCATCGGTAAAGTGGATTTGTACCTAACAAGTTGATTGTTCCATTCCCGCAACACAACGCCGTACACGCACAAACAAGATCCATCTCTATTGACTATAGTCGTTCATCACCTTTTTTACCGCAACAGGCTGGCAGCTCTAATCTAAAGTCAGCCGAGCCGTCCCTCAACCCACCCCCAACTCTCGCATCCATTTTTCACGCTCGCAATATTTCTCGTCCCTTAAAAATTGCGAGCGCGCGCACGTCCGTCGCGTCAAAAATAACGCCATCTCCCTTTCCCCATAAAAGGACAAAACAAACGATCGTTAAGGTGCCCGCGTGGCTGCATCTTCTCTGTAATAACGATCCCGCGAAGCGAGTAAAACGGAAGCTCGCATGTGTCGGCGTGACCCGGAATTTTTACAGCTCCCGCACGCTAAGCTTTCTCTCGGCTCCCCTTCTGCGAATGTGCAGGCACAACCCGTGGTAATAATAATGTAGGGTTCGCATGTTCCGAGAGATCGGATGGGGCGGTCGATCTGATGTTCAGTAGAGCGGGATACTCCGCTCTGATGGAGGGAGTAGGCGGTCGTTCGTCGCACCGACTCGGGGGTTAAACAACTGATGTGCTTATTTGCACCTTTAGCCAGGTTTAGTGATTTGCCATGTCTGGAATATTGGACGAGCTACTGGACGCTCCTTGTCGTCACGGTATTTTCGGTGCTCCTGGAGTTATGATTATTCAAGAGGACCGTTTTACTAGGTTATTGAATTAATTAGGCTTGTAGGGTTTTCTTTTATTTATATGTGCACGATTTCATAGTACTTAAAATAAGTATTAAACGTAGTATTTTTTTCAGATCTACAATCTTTTTTGACTGTCCGTAGATCGAAAATCTCAAGTTGAAAAGTTATTGAAAAAAAAAACAAAAAACAAAAAAAAATACAGATTTTTGTTACAGTACTCCTGTTGTTGGGCTCATATATTTTTTTCCTGCAAAACTAAATAAATTCTTAATCATAAGTTTTCTGTATAAAAATAAAACTATACCAACCAAATTTGAGCTTAACCACGTGTAAGCGTCTCAAGATAGTCTATTTATATATTTTCATACATCCTCACAATAGGCTAAAAATTTATTTGACACAAAAAATATGCGACTTGGTTACTTTTTTTTTTTGCTTTGGTTGAAATAGAAAACTTAAAAGTTATAAAGGATGGTAAGCCGTATGTAAACAAGAGTTGAAAGGTTACGCATAAGTACAAATGTCGACAATAAAAAAACAAGGCTGCAGAGCTCTCCAGTACTTTCAAAGACTCTGACGCTTAATACGAGTTCTCTTTTACCCGTTCACTCGTGCTTTTTTAACCATTTGCGTTAGCACTTTTGAGAGCATTGAATTCTCTACGTGACACTCAGTTTTCCCTCTTTTGGAACAAAAAGAAATATCAACTGTTTACCCGTGTATGCATGATAACTGAACAGGTAAAATGTTTGGTTATGCAAGCGAATGATGCACTGAAGCTACAAGACTCAAAAGTAGCTTTTAGAATGACAACAAACACAAAAAATAAGCTATTTGTCGTTGATTTCTGTTTTGAAAGTCATAACTTTTTGTTTATATTATTTTTACTAATGTTATTGTTATTATTATTTACCCTTATGATTTTTCTTATAAGATAGAGACATATTTAATACCTTTGAAATCCAAACAAATAATGATCGGATTAGTGGTTTATTACTAAATTTCTTAGGTTATTCGACATGATGCTTTTATTTTTAATTTTATTATTGATTACGTAATTAAGAGTTATGTAAGTATAATGATTTTTCAGTTAATAATTTCCAAGAACAAGAAATCCAAGCTTATGTTACATCAAAGGTAAACTGAAGAACACCTGTGTTGACTTTACAATACAATGATCAAGAAATTTTTTTCGCTCATTAATTTAAATGTATCGATTTTATTTATTATATTTGATTAATGTTTCACGTGAACAACCAAATTAACCATTTAAATTTGTTATCTTAATTATTATTAATACGTGATAAATTCTTTATCTCGTGACCTATTTANATAGGGGTAAGTGTACCTATCTCCGTGCTCTGCCCTATTACCGTGGATTTTGAAAAACTGATGATTACTTGCTCAAATAGTGAAAGAAGAAAAAGAAAGCAACGATATTGATGACAATAAAAAAATTGAAGAGGAGCATGTTGTTAAGATTAGTGAATTGATTTATTTAATAAATAATTAAATTAATAAAAACACTCATTGATTAGCTTGCTCTTTCATATTTTTCCTGAAAGATTTTAAAAGACATAATTTGAATGAGAATTCAATTGTGTGTAACAAACTTTGTAATACATATAAGAAACACATTTAAAGGATAGCAGAATTCAGTTTAAGCTTACTTAACACTCAAAATGTCAACAAAAGTTTGGACTGTTCTCTTGTGCAGTGTCACTTTAGTTTTGGTAAATTAAAAATATAAAAAGCTCGTAACATTAATCACGCTGTAAGTACGATACTTATGACATAATTTTTTCGTATTTTTAGGCTTTTCCACAAGGTAAAATATCTGATAATCAAAATAATGTTGTTAACACTGAAAAAATACAAGAATACCCTGAAATTCAGGTGAAGTTTTAACTTTGCAAACAAATAATATATTTAAATGCTTAACAAAAATTTAAGTCTTTATATGTTACCCCCCTATCGTACTGTATCTTACAACTAATTAAATTTTATATCTGCAGGTAACGTCTGGCACATTAGAATTTCCTACAAATCAACTTGAAAAAACTAAAGTTAATCCGGACACTAAAGTAGAAAGTTTTCATATAACACCAGAAGTAATTAATATTGATATTGAATAGTACTAAATAGCAGATAAGAAAATACTTCCCATTTCCTCGATTAAAAAAATCGTGTTTTTATTTTCTAGTGTGTTAAAACAAAAATTACTGGTTTTTACATTAAAAACTATAATGCCACGGTAAAATATTGTAAAAACCTGAAAGACGATGAAGAAAAGTCAAAAACTAAAAACGACGATGATGATCACATACAACAAATGAAAGAACAAATAGGCCAACGCACTGGAGATGATTCGAAAATTAAAGAAGAAAATAGCAATGAGACGGAAGATGAAGAAAGTGTTACTATGCACGCACAGGAAACAGAATATAATGATAAAAATGAAGAAGACTACATTACTCAAATACAAATAGAAGGAAAATTTAAAAACACAGTAGAAGGTACTATTCAAAATAAAAAAGAACGTGTTGATCGAGTACAAAAAGAAGAGAAAGTAAGTGTACATGCTAAAGAAACTTTGACAACTGAAGCAGAGAGTATTAATCAAGTACTAGAAGAAAAAGACAGTAATGATATTGACGACAACTTGCAAATCAAAGAAGAACATATCGATCCAGTACAAGAAGAGAAAGTAAGTGAACATAGCGAAGCAACTTTGACAATAGAATCAGAAAGTGTCGAAAAAGTACAAGAAAAAGAAAAAACCAATGATACCGACGATAACCTGAAACCAGAAAAAGAACCAGTCGAGCCAGTATTAGAAGAAGAGATGGTAGCTATACACGCAGAAACAACTTCGACAACAAAAGCAGAGAGTGTTGAAGTAGTACCAGAAGAAAAAGAAAGCAACGATATTGATGACAATAAAAAAATTGAAGAGGAGCATGTTGATCTAGTACAAGAAGAAGAAAAAGTAGGTGCTCACGTTGAAGCAACTTCAACAACAGAAGCAGAGAGTGTCAAAATAGTAACAGAAGAAAAAGAAAGCAACGATATTGATGACAGTATAAAAATTGAAGAAGAGCATGTTGATCCAGTACAAGAGGAAGAAAAAGTAAACGAACACGCTGGAACAAGTTCAACAACGGAAGCAGAGAGTGCCGAAATAGTGAAAGAAGAAAAAGAAAGCAATGATATTGATGACAATAACAAAATTGAAGAAAAGCATGTTGATCCTGTACAAGAAGAAGAAAAAGTTAATGAACACGCCGAAGCAACTTCAACAACAGAAGCAGAGAGTGTCGAAATAGTGAAAGAAAAAAAAGAAAGCAACGATATTGATGACAATAAAAAAATTGAAGAAGAGCATGTTGATCCAGTACAAGAGGAAGAAAAAGTAAATGAACACGCTGAAACAAGTTCAACAACGGAAGCAGAGAGTGCCGAAATAGTGAAAGAAGAAAAAGAAAGCAACGATATTGATGACAATATTAAAATTGAAGAAGAGCATGTTGATCCAGTACAAGAGGAAGAAAAAGTAAATGAACACGCTGAAGCAACTTCAACAACGGAAGCAGAGAGTGCCGAAATAGTGAAAGAAGAAAAAGAAAGCAATGGTATTGATGACAATAAAAAAATTGAAGAGGAGCATGTTGATCCAGTACAAGAAAAAGAAAAAGTAAATGAACACGCCGAAGCAACTTCAACAACAGAAGCAGAGAGTGTCGAAATAGTGAAAGAAGAAAAAGAAAGCAACGATATTGATGACAATAAAAAAATTGAAGAGGAGCATGTTGTTCCAGAACAAGAAGAAGAAAAAGTAAATGAACACGATGAAACAAGTTCAACAACGGAAGCAGAGAGTACCAAAATAGTGAAAGAAGAAAAAGAAAGCAATTATATTGATGACAATAAAAAAATTGAAGAAGAGCATGTTGATCATGTACAAGAAGAAAAAAAAGTAGGTGCTCACGTTGAAGCAACTTTTACTACAGAAGCAGAGAATGTTGAAAAAGTACAAGAAGAAAAAGAAAGCAAGTTTACAGACGATAATAAAATAACCGAAGAGGCCTATGTCGATCCAGTACATGAAGAAGAGAAAGTAAAGGTAGACACGGAAGCAACTTTGACAACTGAAAAAGTAAGTGAATACACTGAAGCAATTTCATCGACTGTAAAAGTAAGCAAACATACTGAAGCATTTCCGACAACTGAGTACACTGAAGCAATTGTGACAACTCCTAAAGTAATCGAACACCCCAAAGTGCAATCGACAACTGAAAAAATAATAAATTATACAAAAATACATTTGGAAACTGAAAAGGAAAATGTTGGAAAAAAACAATGTATTCAATCTAAAAATGTTAAGTGTTGTAAAAAGTCTAAGAATTGTCCAGTTCAAACAGATGTACACCACAAATTAAAGGTAACGTTACAATTTTTGGTATAAAATAAATTTATGCATATCGAAAAATAATTCTACTAAATATATTAAATTTCATGATACAGGAAGAAACATTAAAAAGTATTGACGATAAATTAAAAAAAATGATGGACTTGTATGACTATTTCTGGAAGAAGAATGTTAATGATATGGCCAAGACGATAAAAAGGGGGGAATGTAATGTCAACAAAGTCAGAAAATACGGTCCAGATGCGGTGGACAGGGCTGAACGCACTTCACGAAAGCTTTTGAATGAAATAGTAACAAAGTATAACCTACTTCTTGAAGGAATAAGGGGAGAAATTGAAATTCTCAGAAAGCGATCATTGGAAGTAAAGAATTCGTTATATTAGTTTTAAAAAATAGAAAAGTTAATGTCCTCAGCATGACTTTTTAAAATATATTTCTGTTTTTTGTAAATATGTTATTGAGTCATCTATTCATTATACTATATTACTTCCGTTCTTATGTTTAAAGAATTTTAACCATACGTTAATATGCTTGACAAAAAAAAATTCCATGGCAAATTCGTTGTCATTCAAAATATTTTACTTTTTTCGAAAATAAAACACAAATGTAGGGGTAAGTGTACCTATCTCCGTGCTCTGCCCTATTACCGTGGATTTTGAAAAACTGATGATTACTTGCTCAAAATAATAAATGTTTCATATAAAATAATTTTTCAATTTTAATAATCTAAAATGACGTTAATGTAGATGCAATTCAAACAGAAATATTTGTGTATATTTTGAGTAAATAATTATTTTCCACGGTATTTGGTACAAAGCGCTCATTAACTGATTGTGTACGTATTTCCGCGGTGAGCGTACGTAAACATAACCCTATACATCCGCAGTAATACGTACACGGTAATAGGTACACAACCACGGTAATACCAGCATACCGTTTTTATTCGTTTTAAAAATATTCTACTGCAGTTTTAGCTTCATAAAATTTTTTTAAATATTCCGTAAGAGATTATGTAAGATTAAAAAAAAAAAATATTCCAAAAAATTTTAGTATACCATTTTTTATGGTGCATTTAAGTTGGAATTTTCAGTACGTGACACGGAGATAGGTACACTTACCCCTAATCGCTTTTGAAACTCTTTTGATAAAACAATTTTACCTCACCACTACACCATTGCAGAAGTCATTTGGCAAGTTAAAAGTGTTATATGCATTCAAATCAACGATGCATTTAACAAATTTAGCTTAACACGAGAACTTTCTGTAAGCATTTGAAATGAAAAATGGTAATTCGGGCCTAAAGCAAAAAAATGATAAGTCACGCAAAATCGTATCTAATATTTCAAAGCCCATGAAATAGGCTCAAGGGGTTATTGTGTCCTCAGCTTTTCAAGGATGAGAGGGAAATCCGAGATGGCGTATTTTCTGTTTTTACCTTCTTCCTTTCTCACACAAACGCATACGTACATACATGACCTTTCTTTCTTTATATTATGAAAAAAAAGCTTTTTTACTCAAAGACATGTGGGTGTGTGTGTATGTATGTGTACGTGTACGCATACATCGTGATACGTTTTTACTGGGTTGGAAAAAAGGGAGTACGCAAGCTTCTTTCTCCTTCATTTCTCCCCACAGGTGTACGAGTCTTCAAAAGCTTATAATTACTCGGGGTAGAGATACGTGCAACTCCTGGCTTTTGAATTCTTTATGTAGCTAAGGGTTCGCAGTCGTGGGGAAAATTTACTGGTGAACAGTTCTCTTGATGACCTACTTTTTTTTCCGTAAAGAGTATTCATTTGGATTATTTTATTGACTATCGTGAGTTTCATTTTATAAGAGCCCGATTTGCGACACATTGATCTTACTAAAAAATAAAAAAGTCTCATGATGGAGTTTACTTATAAAACAAAATTTATTTCGATATTATTCGCTTATGCTTTCAGTACGAATTAATCTATTTATTTAAAAACCAAACACAAATTGTAAGCGTTTTTATGATCCAAAAAAAAATAAAAGCAACACTTTACAATGAATGCCTTTATAACGTTGGCAATGGCAGTCCCATGATTCCCGAACCAAAACACCAATAGCCCCGTAATCCTCGATTTTGCGCGTTATTTACTTAACAATCTTCGCAAACCGCGGTGGCGCTGCACAGCACCAAAACTAATTGCAAAAAGCACCGCCAATATTCAAGCCTCCCATCAACTACCTCTCTATCTTCCTCCCTCCCCCTCTTCGGAGCACCATAAAGCACAGCAGCAGCAGAACGTACCATAAAACCATCGGATAAATAGCGCCGATAGCCCGATAGACAGCTCAATTATAGAACGAGATTAAACTCTGCCTGCCCACCTCCACAGCTGTTGGCCGAGATAACATCTCCATACTAGAGAGAGGAAGGGAGAGAGGGGTGCGAGGTAGACGACTGGAAAAAGTAGCCGCCACTGCCGAGCACACAAATAGCCTCGTCCTCCCAATTAGTAACTCACATTCGAGCAACTCCCTTTTTCTCCCTTTTTTTCACCCCCACGACAAATTACGGGACTTGAAAAATTTTGGAAGGAGGTGAGTGGGTGGACGGTACGTATGACGCCCAATTTCGGGGACGACTCCCTCGAGGCTGATGGTGCACCAAAACGCGTCGACTCGACATCCATCTGGCAGGAAACGACGCGCGTGGATTATAATTTTCGCGAAGCGAGATTTCGATCGGATTTTTCAGCAGATTGCGATGTGCGTACCTGCATGCGTACTTTTTTTCGATTGGTTTGACGCGGGACGTTTTCCATGAGTTTAACACGACAGAAAAATTATCGAATAACTTTTGTAAATGTCAAAAGCCCTGGTTTTCTCTTTAAGCGAGTCATTAACTTTATTATCAAGATTATTTTCTGGTTCTTACATAAAACATATATTCCTTTATTAATGAAATAGCCACTTGAAATTTTAATAAGTTGATGTAGATCGAAGAAATCAAATTAGTTTCAATTTACGGATGATTGCGAGTTTTTGAAGAAGCTTATTAATCTTAGATGAAGATGTAGTGTAGCATCTGCTAGATGTAGAGAGAAGCGATATTTCACTGCGCTCATTAGCGAGAAAACTTTATTAGGAGCTAAAGAACCTTGGCGTAAAAAAAGCGCGAAAATTGTCACATGCATTCACCTAAATGGTGTAATTACGCTGAAAAGTATGTCTTGCCTTTTTTTCCTTTTTTTTTGTAAAATTTTTGTTACATAAAGTTGATAGAGATTCTTTTAAAGGCTATGGGTAGATGTTGTCGTGTGACTTTCATGTTAAAAAAAATAAGGTATTCGATGTAATAAATTTAATTTAAAAATGGTCTTTCAAGGTGTTTTTCTTTCATGTTTAATGGATTGCACCTAATTTGTTGACTTGAAAATTTTGCTTCGTTAGGAAGTCAATAAATCAAGTTAAAAATAACGATATCATTAAGTATACAGGTTTGTTGACAGAGCAGCATCTACTCGTAACATTTTTCATAATTTTACAAACGGCTGCACTAATTTTAAATTAAATTTCGATTATTTTCCCAAAACTGATGCATTATACATTAAAGTTATTATTAGATTTAAAAAAAATTTTTTTTAATCTTTTGATTAATTAACTATAACTGTTAAATAAGCTGATCAGACACTAAGCCATTTATTCAAAAGTTAATTCTTTTACGCACGTGAAACGTATATTTTTACAGCATGAAAAATGTACATTTAAAATGCAAATTGTAATTCGCTTTTTTTCAACAGGTGTAAGATTTAAATACTAACGCGGATCCCCGAAATTAAATTAAAATTCTTCAACAACAGATTTAAAATAAATCTCCAGAAAAGCAGACCAAAATACATATCCAGCTCGATGCATCCCGTATTAAAGTTGATGCGATATGAATTATGCAGCGGCTCAAAAATTGCATGCACGAATTTAATTTCAAATTTTACATTTTCCGTGGTACTAAAAATGTATATTTTCAGAGGTACCCGAAATGATATTTTACAGGTTAAAAAAAAAAAAAAAAAAAATCATCCGTTACAAACCATGTAACTCTGCCAAGGGAATTAACGCAAGAGCCTTTGGTCGGTAGCATCGAGATATTTTACGACCACCCACTACGCTCTAATTCTGTGTTTTCTGCGTTACGTGAAAATACACTTTTTTGTTGCTGGGACGGGATGTTTGTTGTCTCTGCGCTATTTTCCAGAGCCCCGACGTCCAACGTCTTTTCTGCCAAGCGTTTTTTTCTGTCCTGCTCTTTTGTCTCTGCAGCAGATACATATATAGAGAAGTTTTTCGCTTTGTGTGTAAGTGCAAGTGGTGGTTATGGGTTGTGTACCGAAGCAAATGTTAAAACTCTGCCATGCCGCCGGGGACTTTAAAAATACGATGTTTGGGTTGGATGCGGTATTAAAAGTGCACGGCAACAAACTGTCTGTTAAGCTTTTTTTGGTGATAATGTTAATCTAAGAACGTACACAACGTTTTATGAAAATATCGATAATTTTCCTCAACTGTTCTTATACTCAAAGACGTTTGAGGTAAATAAGACGAAAATAATACGATTCACCTCATATTGAACAGTAATTATATCAAATAATCACACAACTTGCATTAACAGTAAAACGAATCAATCGATGGATCAAACAATCTAAAAACTGACAATAAACTTGCTCCAGTCTCAAAGAAAAAAAAAACTCTCCCCACCATGTCCCCCATATACAAGCACTTTTACATCCTCGTACAGCCCTGCAGAGAGGATAAACTCCGAGCATTCCCCCCTCGGCATCTGACTGTTTTACGGCGCGATTTCGGCCCTGAGGCGAGCTCGCGAAGAGTACGAGATTATAGGCGAGGATTCATCCCTCGCGAGGCCGCTGCAAAACTTGGCAGTCTCCTCCTATTCTTTCTCCCTTATCTCTTTGCCAGGTGGACGTTAACGAGCGCGAAATCCTTGCGAAACAGGAGAGGCAGACTCGGGGCCGTAAAATACCGGCTGCTCGTGTTTTATGGACAGTTTA